AATTTCGTTGAAATTGATGTATGTATGTATGTATGTATGTATGTATGTATGTATGTATGTATGTATGTATGTATTAGAACTTTCAAACTGAGCAAATTGAGGCCAATCTCTCCCCCCCACCCTTGATGTGTGTCCAATCTAATTTACAGGGCCTTTGTTGTGAATTTAAAATTAGGGATCCCAATGAGCTGATTCAGGCAAATTCCCACTCACCAATAAAGCTTGGATCGTTCCACCAGTGCGTAAGTGTCTCCATCGCCAATGAACACCTGGCAATTCAGGCAGCTGAAGCATTCAGGGTGATATTTTTGTTCCCCAGCCACCTGAAATAGGAACAGATAGACATGAGCGCCTGTCTCCCTGCCAGTACACACTTCTCAATCACTATTTTGCGGGTGGTCCTTCTCACTATCCAGCAATATCATAGAGCTCCTGTTCAAAGGAAGAGAGGCAGGAAGCCAAAGATTGTTCAGTCCTGAAACACAACATGAGCAGGATCAGGCAGTGAAGTTCTCATCCAGGCACTTCATGCTGCCAGAGAAAGAGATTTGAGGAAATCATTGGGAGGAGGATGAAAGGATCACATCTCAAACAAAAAAGACGTGCAGGTGGGACTCCAGGCCCACGTAAGAGCAGAAGAGACCGGAGAGAAGAGGCAGATTGACAATCATCCCTGAATGAAATAATATTTGGGTAATTCATTAATTAGTAAAACATTCAGTTTGCACAAAGAAAACTAGCCCCAAAATGGACAGGGGATTGGACTAGAAGACCTCCAAGGTCCCTTCCAGCCCTAGGATTCTTTGAGCAGATTTAACTGGTTATTGATTAATCCATTTTGAGTTCATATTTCACATTGATTGATTTATTAACTATTTTAATGCAACATAGACTTCTGAAGACTCCTGGTGGTTTATAGAATAAAAATATTTTTAAAAATAAAATAAAATCTGCCCTGTGCCACCAAAACCCAGCATCCTTCTTCAAACTATTTAAAGTGTTCCATCTTCTGGAAAATGGTCAAGGAAAGTACCAAACAAACCTCAGGAGGAAAAATATTGCGAAGCATATGTTATAAGCAGCAACGAGTTCTCCCTCCTTCTCTCTGTCCTCTTGCTTCTTTTTGGGAGTGGGGCTTTTAACAACCCTCTTTAGGCTGAATGAATCAGAGGAGTCAGTTCTGTTTGGTGTATGTGATCCTTCAGACATTCTGGTGGCAAACCATGAAGATGTTATCGGTTACAATCAGCAGTTTGAATTGTTCATGGAAGCCAATGCAGAGTTCAGAGCACCACTGGGCTCTGATGCTGGAAAAGGTGGAAGGAAAGAAAAGCGGGCAACCAGCTACAAGGTGGCTAGACTCAGTTATGGCATTGATGGTGCACAACTGGAAGATCTGAAGGACAAGGTTAAATAGGTAAAGGTTCCCCCGCACCTGCTTGCTAGTCGTTTCCGGCTCTAGGGGACGGTGCTCATTTCTGTTTCAAAGCCGAGGAGCCAGCGCTGTGCGAAGATGTCTCCCTGGTCATGTGGCTGGCATGACTAAATGCCGAAGACGCACGGAGCGCTGTTACCTTCTCACCAAGGTGGTCCCTCTTTTTCTATTTGCATTTTTTACATGCTTTTGAACTGCTAGGTTGGCAGAAGCTGGGACAAGTAACAGGAGTTTACTCCATTACGTGGCACTAGGGATTGTGGCACTGAACTGCCAACCTTCCAATCAACAAGCTCAGCATCTTAGCCACTGAGCCACCTTAGGACAAGCTTAAAGGTAAAGGTTCCCCTCGCACATATGTACTAGTCGTTCCCGACTCTAGGGGGCGGTGCTCATCTCCGTTTCAAAGCCGAAGAGCCAGCGCTGTCCGAAGATGTCTCTGTGGTCATGTGGCCGGCATGATTAAAAGAACAAGGTTAGGGACCGACGATTATGGAGAAAATCTATGTGGTCGCTAAGAGTGGACGCCAATTTGATGACACATAAGCAGTCAATAAACCAAATTAATGTGTTTATGTGATGATGGCGTCAGGCATCACTCCTGATGTACCAGTTTTAAGTCAAGATTATCCATACTCCAGGTTCCTTCCTCAGTACTCAGAGCTTTGGTTTGATTAGAATTCTACCTGAAATCACTTTTTCTGCAGGAGTCTCTTGCACTTTTACAATGGTCCATTTACTGTCTCATGACATTGGCAGCTGTTTCACTCCTATGTAGGTCACCACATGCTGCTTGCAACTGCATCTCCAAACTTTCTTGGGTAATAGCTTTGCATTTCACGATGGAGCAACAGCCCCGCTGCCTTGGACTCCAGGCTGCCCTTTCCCTCCCCCCTCTCTCTAATGCTTTCTTAATTTCTTTTTCTATAGAAGTCTCAAGGCATCCCTAAGATCAGGCGCTTAAACTGCATTGGACTTATTGCCTTCTTCCTCTCCAACTTGGTCTGCTCTGATTCCAGCTTCCCAACTTATAGATCAGTGTTTCTCAACCTTGGCGAATGCTGGCTGGGGAATTCTGGGAGTTGAAGTCCAGACATCTTCAAGTTGCCAAGGTTGAGAAACACTGTTATAGATCTTCAGATACAATAGTGAGGCATTTGGGAAAGGTAGCTCTATTTCAGTCTTACTGAACTGAATCTCTGTGTGTGCGTGTGTGTCTATTTGTGCGTGCGAGAGACAGAGAGAGAGAGAGACAGAGAGACACAGAGACAGAGACACACACACACACACAGAGACAGAGACACAGAGAGAGACAGAGAGAGACAGAGAGAGTTGAGTAGCTGCTATATATTTAATCTACTTATCCAACTGATTGCAGCAGGCACTTTTTAACACTTTAGATCAGCAATGTTTAACTTTTTGAGCTTTTGGCAGTCCAAACAGCTGTGCCTGGTGAAACCTAAGCAGGATCTTTAGATTTCTCCAGCTCTTTCATGAAATAAGATCTATAGTGTGTTTAAAACTACCATTGTACCTTCCATATTGTATTTCTTCAGGATTTGCTTCATATTTCCTCATTATCCACAGGCAAAATTACTACTACCCCATAATTCATTCTGCCATATTTAGATCTGTAACCATACGCTCCAAATGCTAAATGCCACGGTTTGGGTTCACAATTAATGTCACATTGTGGATTTCCTTCCCTGCCTTTTGAAAAAGGCTTTCTGACAGTTTCTCCAGATTTTCCATTAGTTCATTCCACAGCTGTTATTTTCTGTGTTAACTCAGAAACATTTAATCGCTTCCTCATTTCTGCAGACACCTCTGACTAGAGGACACCCACATAATACGCTCATCCTGGGATTGACCAACAATTCAGTTTCCCTTTTAGGTTGGTGGTTTCCCAGAAGTCTCATGACAATCCCTTTAAAAATGTAAAGATAAGTGTTTCCTCACTTTGCCATAGAAAGAATTTGATTCTTTGTTGTACAACCCTCTCTAGATTCTAGATCTAAATTTCTTAAATTTCTGTTATATTCTCATCAACTCACAGCAGACCTCAAAAGGATAGAGTGCACATTCACATCGAACAAAAAGGCCCTGGTACTAATTTGAGGTTTTGTTTGTTTGCTTTCTGACCAAATAATTACTTCCCCTTTGGACATTCCTTTAAAATATGAATCAACAATTATTTCAAGCAGTGGCCACAAACATGTGATTTTTGTGTGGTTGGAAATGCTAAAAATAAATATGTATACGTGTGTGTGTACACACACATATATATATAATTAGATGCATACACACACACACACACACACAGTATATATGTTACATTTTACTGATAAAAAAATAAAGGGAGACTAGTATAGTCTCTTTCAAGCTATTTAGCTCTCATCAGCTAGCCATGCCCTTCTGGGATTCAAACTTGAACTGCTTTCATATTAGGCAATTGTATTAACCTCTAAGCCACAAGTTCTCCTCACTTTAGCAGCCGAACCAGGGGGGAGTTTTTTCTTCTGTCAGACCACCTAATTAAAAATGACCAAATTATCATGCCAATTTGGCCTTCTGCTGGGATTTCAGCCATTTTAATTTATTATTTTAAAGGATATTATTATTTAAAATATATATTTTTAAATAATACATTATTATTTATTATTTATGTTATCATAATAACTAACACTACTGCTATTGTGTGTATTATGGATATCATCCTACTCATTATCACCATCATTAGTTCAGAGGTCAGTGGGTTGCTATGGCACTTATGTGTGGTACCAAGATCCAATTTAAACCAATTTAAAGATCTCAAGTTTCTGCCTTTTGTGTACTACAAGCATGAACTAGACTAGAACATTGCTTTAACCTATAAAAAGAAAACAACTCATCTATATTTACCTTTGTGCATTTTGCTGAAAAATTAGGTCACTGGAGTACATATTTCTTTATAAGATTTTTTTATTACATTATAAATAACTCAAGACAGTGGACATACATATCTAATATTCCTTTCTCTTCCTATTTTACTCACAATAATCCTGTAAAGTGCCAATTTTTCATGCCTAAGGCAGGACTAAAACTCACCATCTCCTGGTTTCTGAGCCAGCATCTTAACCATCACACAAAGTGTTTTTTCCCAGAAAGAAAGTAAGTCAAATGGACTTTACATTTATAACAGCTGGTGCTTCTTGTCCTATATTGCTCTTATGAAAATGAATATTTTTTAAAGCAACTGTTGTTTCCTTTCGATGTGCTAACTTGTCCATGACACATAATGCTTTGTGAGAAGGAGAGGTGGTTTGGCAATCAAAATTGAATGTAACTGACAATACTGTTTTGTAGTAAGGACAGAGTTAAGTAACAAATGCAGGCTAAGAAATGAAAGACAATCAGGACACCATAGTGAAAGTATGTGGAGACAATGCCTTGATCCTATTAAAAACAATGAGAACAAAGCTTGATTAAAAACAGCATTGTTAGCTGGTGCTGGGATATGCTGATGGGGAACAGGGCTTAATGGTTTCCTCTGTGCCATTTTCCCAGGTTCTCACCTGCTAAGATGCTATAGGCTCTGGAGAGGAGAAATAGGACATATCCTGTTCACCATCATCTTCCACCTACATGGCTTTGTTGGTTATGATGTTGGTGCCAAGGGTAGTCTACTTTCCCCCCAATTCACACCTCTTTTCTCCATTGCTATGTTTAAGTAACAAAATACCAAATAAAAGGATTTAAGAAGATCTATGCTCAGGCAGTAGCCTCTCATTCAATTTTTGTCTCCCTCCCTCTGCAAACATTGGTTGCTCCACATCTATTCCTCCTCCTCCTCCTCCTCCTCCTCTAAGCTGTCATGCCATATCGACAAATGAGAAAAGTCTTTTTTCCCCATTATTATCAGTGAAGAACTCATGATTCTCATCCACTTGTAGTTTGTGCTGTGATTCTTAGCAGAGGAAAAGTGGGACAAGGGGTTCCACCACAAAACCGTGGTAGACTAAAGCGCGTGTGACTAAAGCGCGGTGACAAAACCGCACCATCAAACCCGCGCGACAACAGCGCACCGACAACAGCGCACCGACAAAAGCGCGCTGCAACATAACCCTAAAAATAACCCTAAACCTAACGCTAAACCTAACGCTAAACCTAACG